AAGAGGAGTTAGACATTAAAAAGCCTGTTAATGTAATCCATCACATTAACAGGAAGAAGAAAAGTAATATTTGATTATCTCAAAAGATGTAAGAAAAAGAGCTTATGATATGTGATTCGACATTTATTCTTGATTAAAACTCTTGAGCCAGCTAGGAATAATTAACCTAAAAGAAGGAGGTTTTTGCATAATGATTTAAAACAAATTTGCTAGATTCATTTATTTTGCTTACATAAGAACTTTTGCAAGAAACAGTATTTTGTAATGCTGCTTTTTAATATTTTCAGAACTTAACAAGAAGTTGCAAACTTCCTGTGAACTGGTTTAGTTAAATTTAGTATTAAAAGGTCAGGGAGGGCATGCCCAACAAAAGTCAAGAAGGTCATAATCAGAAGGTTAATGAGCAGAAGAATGGTGAACCAAATCCTTGCTCTCATGACAGTTGGCCGCTTCAAGTAGATAATCTCTTACAATACACATTTACGTTTGTGTTTTTTCACTTGGTAAACCTTACAACATTTGCTGTGTCCCAGAACCATCCTAGCATTTTGCAAATATTAACAAATTTCATAACAACCCTCTGGAGTCGTTACTATTTTAACCTCAGTTCCCTGTCCATAAGGAAACTGAAACCTAGAGAGGTTAAGGCAAGAGAGGTTAAAGAAGCCAACCAAGATCCCTCAGTTGTAAGATCCAGCATTCAACTTCTTTTTCTCTTCTCTCCTTCTGGGACTCTACTGGCTATAGTGGACCCCCTAAATTCCTCCCCACGTCTCTTACCTACTCTTTCCTATTTTTCATCTCTCTCTGCCACATTTAAAATTTTTTCAACCTATGCTTTAGACTGATCATTCATTCTCTTTTCAGCTTTCTCACCTGTGGTTTAGTCCATTATTTGCTTTAATAAAGACAAATGACTTTATTATTTATTTCTAAGGTCCTAGATGGTTCTCTTTTACATTTGTCTGATCTTTTGGATAATGTTTCACTCTTCTTTCATGTTTTCTTTTTTTTTGAGTTGGAGTCTCACTCTGCTGCCCAGACTGGAGTGCAGTGGCCGCTCCCAGCCACTGCAGCCTCGACCTGCTGGGCTCCGGCAATCCTTCTGCCTCAGCCTTCCAAGTAGCTGGAATTACAGGCATGATTTTTTTATTTATTGTAGAGATGAGGTCTCGCTGCCCAGGCGGATCTCAAACCCTCGGGCTCAGGCAATCCACTCACCTCAGCCTCCCAAAGGTGCGGGATTACAGGCTGAGCCACCAAGCCCAGCTTCTTTCATATTTTCAAATCCTCCTTTTATCTTCTTAAATATTTGGTCTTTATTTTTTCTTCATTCTCTGATTATTATATTATCAGAAATTCTTGAGTATCTAATAATGTCCTCTGTGGACCTTAAGTGTTTCCTACTGTGTTGTGTAATTTTGGATTATGAGCTCATTGGTATCAGGGTTTATCTGCAGACATCCTGAGCTATCTACTTGAAGGTATGTCCATCCAGAAAAGTTTTATGTTTTATTTTTACTTTTTTGAGTAGGGGTCTTACTCTGTCACCCAGGCTGGAATGCAGTGGCATGATAATGATGATCATGGCTCATGGTAGCTATGACCTCCTGGGCTTGGAAGATTCTTCCACCTCAGCATCCTGAATAGTTGGGACTATAGGCATGCATCACCATGCCCAGCTAATTTTCATTTATTTATTTATTTTAGAGACTAGGTTGTGCTATGTTGCTTGGCTAGTCTTGAATTCCTGGGCTCAAGCAACCCACATGCCTGACCCAGAAAAATTTTATAACAATTTCTGTCTGGCACCCCACAGGGATACTCTAGCTTGTTGAAGGTTCTTAAAAGATACAAGTAGCATAAATAAGACAAACTGCATGGTGCAAGTCAATGGTTATAAATTCTTATATTTTTCCCACCACATGCAAAACACAAGCTGAGACGAGACAAGTTTTCTTGTTGCCTTTTTGTGCCAGCACTAGATAACAGACAGCCGCCTTCAGTTTGAAAACTTATTCTTTCACCTTGGACAGTGTTTCTTGTATTACTCCTTTGATAAATTCTACTTTTAACGTTTATGGTTCTCTTTTTATGAGCTACAAGTGTTTAATTTCTTAACCTGAGATTCTTTAAAAAATTTTTATAACTCTTTTCTGTAAGGGCAATATACTCACTTTTTCACTGGCGAATCCTGAAATGTCAGTATCTGGGGTCTGTACATCATGAGCATTCAGTTTCTCCAGAAAAATTTTTTCCCAATTCTGTGCTGGAAGAGGCAGAACTGAGGAGCTAATGGCATGTGCTTTGTTGCCTAAGTTCTTAAGGAGGGCTTAGAATGGGCCCTGCCGATCTCCCAGTTTTGTGTATAGCTTTCAGCTCTGAAACACACTCATCTTCCCATAGCTGGGAACTTGAGACCAGAGAGTCTCTGGTTCAGCTTCCAGAAGATGAGACAGATGGGGTAGATGGGAATTACTTCTCAGGCTACTAGGAATAAGAGTCCTGAGTATCTAGCCCATCAATATATGGACTTTCAAATCTTCCTGCATTTTCAGGACCCCATATCTCCCTACCCTCCTGAGTTGCATTGTTTCCTGGTACTTCTGTAACAAAGCTCCATATGCTGGGTGGCTTAAAACAACAGACGTGTATTGTCTTTCAATTCTGGAGGCTGGAAGTCCAAAATTAAGGTGTTGGCAGGGTCAGTTCCCTCTGAGGGAAATCTTCAAGGGAGAATCTGGTCCAGGCCTCTCTCCTGGTGTCTGGTAGCCTCAGGTGTCCCTTGGCTCGTGGAAGGTGTCTTAGCACTGTTTCCCTGTCTCTACGTCCAAATTTTCCCTTTTTATAAGGACATATTGGATTAGGTCTCACCCTAAAAACCCCATTTTAACTTGATCACCTCTGAAAGGCTCTTTCTCCAAGTAAGGCCCCACTGTGAGGTGCTGGGGTTAGAAAGTCAACATATCTGAGGGAATAGGGGATACACTTCAGCCCAACACCACTGCTCAAATCTTGAGCCTCTGAAGTTTTGCAGAGTGAATCAGCTCATTTCCTCATTTTCGTGCCTACCTGCACCCCTCATCATACCACCCCTATATCCATGCACACTCACAGAGACACACTCAGACACACACACAGAAACACAGACACACACACATACCACATAGGCACACTGACACATACTGTGCTAAAATTGCACTCTGGATTTGTTTAATCAGGTATGGTAATATATGCAGACACAAAAATGATTGTCACAAAGAAATCAGTTTATAATCACGGACTACTAAAAACAGAAAGCATCATATCTTCATCTGTTTTGTGTTGCTATAACAGAATACCACAGACTGTAATTTATAATAAACAGAAATTTATTTCTTATAGTTATGGTGGCTGGGAAGTCCAAGATAGAGGGGTTGGCAACTTTCAAGGGCCTTCTTGCTATATCATCCCACGGTAGAAGTGGGGTGTGTGTGTGTGTGTGTGTGTGTGTGTGTGTGTGTGAGAGAGAGAGAGAGAGAGCAAGAGAGAGGAAGAACAGGAACAACAAGAAGAACAAGAACAAGATCAAGAGAAGTAGGAAAAGGAAGAGGAGGAGAAAAAGAGAAAAGCAAGAGAAGGAAAGAGAAAAAGGGGGGCCAGACTCATCATTTTATAAGGAATCCACAATAGATAATGGTGTTAATCTATTCATGAGGGCAGAGCCGTCATGGATTAATCACCCCTCATTAAGGCACATCTCCCAACACGGTTGCACTGAGGATTAAGTTTCCAACACATCCTTTTTGGAAGACACACACAAACCATAGCACATGGCAAGTCACACAGGGCCACATAGGGAAGGACCAATGATGGGCAAAAGCAGAAGTGAGGGAGGGTGGAGTATGGTTCAGAGCCTTTGCTAGAGTTTTCCCAGGAGAAAATGGGCAACACAGGCAGGATGCTAAGAGAGTTTAGGATTGGATAGTCTGAAGTATTTCAGTGGGCTCTGGACTCTAGGGGCTGTCCCTAGTTGTCTGAACCTGATCCAGGGTGATTCCGGACAAGGGAAATATTGGCTTGGCATGTGAGAGTTTGGTGAAGGAGACACCTGGTTGTGTGGGCTCTGGATTGGTTAAGGAGAGCTTGTATACTTCAGGGGAATCACTTGCTATCTCTAGCCATCAGATAACCTGAGACAGTCCATTTCTCCAGGATCAAGGCTCCAATGCCAGAACATTAAAAATATAGATGATAAGAAAACACAGTAAGTGCACAAAAATACATGCCTACACCACACACATAAAGACACACACCAATATAATTGGAGTGTGCCCTTTTTATTTATATATGTTTGTGTCCACTCATTCTATTACCCTTCTATTTGCTTTTCCTCTTCTCCCATTTTGTTTTTTTGTTTTGGGGTTTTTTTTTTTTTTGGACCGTGACATTTATATCTCCTTTCAATAATTGTAGTAGGATTCAGAAAATTAGCAGGGATTAAACTTGTGCATCCAGTGTTCCACGTTTAACCAGGAAACACTCCAGTGAACATTTGCTGGTACTTGAAGCACTTCCTCAGGGCCTTAGCCACTACCAAGTTAGACCCTCATGGCCATGTAATGATGACCTTCTGGGCTTCCAAATAGTACCACCTCTGAGCATCGCCTGGCCTTTATCAGAAATGCACAGTGGCCCCAATGACATGAAGGGAGGTACAGTTCTTAAAGCTTGGCCTAATCTCTGCCCATCGCCCACCAAGTTGCTCTCTCTTTGTCTTTCCCCCATAAGCTGTGCACTCCGCTTACACAGAATGCTTGTATGCTACTACTAGAAGCAACCTGTCACTTTAAAAGGAAAAAAAAGCGCCACTAAGTGACCTCCTTAGGAACGGGTTGCTAAGCTGGTGTTTTTGCTCTGAGACACGACTGCAGCTTCCCGGGGAGGAGCCCGTCCCCCACGCTCAGACTCTCCCTCCAGATGCTTTTAGAAGATTCAACAGCACAACCGTCTCTCTCCACTTGCATTCCAGAAAGCAGAACCTGCAAAGTGCCTTTTGTAAAGTTTCTTAAGGTAAATCGATTCTCAACTGGACTTAGGGCTACAGTAATGGTTTCCTGTTTTCGGTTTCTTGTTTTCAACCTCTCCCTGGGTACCTTGAAACTGAATGTAATGAGTTGTAAGTTTAGGGGCCCTCAGCATTATTTATGTTTTCATTTTCTTTCTGGAATGGGAACATAGACCACTACTCAGCAGCTTTGATTTGAGCAGCTCTGTGGTGTCTGGTTTGCAGGAAACATTAAGTCCCCTTCCTCGCGAGCCCTGAATGGAAATCCTCTCTAACCAACACTCTGAGGAACATTTACTACGTGTTGCATTTCTGCGCCTTTTAGTTAAAACTGGTTCAAGAGGAAAAGTACTAGTCACTGCAAACTTCACTTTTCTTGACATTAGACAGAGAAAGGGCTATTAACCTCAGGGTTGAAACTTGTTGGGATTTCCAAAAGACTTCAAGAAAATCTGCTGGCTGCAACTTAACCTGTTTTCCTTCATTGCAGAGAGGTGCTATGAAAAGCTAATAAGGACTAGTAGGAAATATATGCTTGCTATTGCATTTTCATATAGGCTTTTCTGTAAATCAATTCAGTGTCAGTATAAAATCTCTCTCTCCCTCTCTCTCTCTCTCTCCCTCTCTCTCTCTCTCTCTCTCTCTCTCTCTCTCTCTCTCTGTGTGTGTGTGTGTGTGTGTGTGTGTGTATAGACCTCTTAGAGCTCATTTATAGTCATTCATTCAAACATTTATCGAGTATTAACAATGCACCAGGCAATGCACCTAAGCTTAGAGTGTGCAAAAATGAATTAGACCAGGTCAGAAGCTCAGAGTTGCTGGAAAGACAGACCTAGAAACAGACAATAACAGTACAATGAGCTAAATGCCAGAAAAGATTTACAAAGAGCACTGTGAGCACAGCAGGATGACATCCAGGGAGGGGCTTCCAGCACTTACTTACAGCTGACTACATCGTGTAAATAAATGCACTGGCCATGGATCACATAGAGCAGTTCAAACATGGTACTCGTATGTACTCGCCGAGAGCAGTGTATACTGTAGCAAGCTGATTAAATGATTCTACAAAGCTATTTGTCACTAACTTTATGCTGACGGAAACTGCAGCTGAAATAACTTGTAGAATAAGATAGTGAATTCCAAAAGGTACTGCCCCAGATTTCTGAACTCCAGGATGGGACAAAAACAAAAATGCTTTCAGAGTGCAAGGGAGAGAATACTCATGGGAACAGGGCCAGGAGGCTTCAGAAGCACCATAAACTGAAACAACAAGACAGATTCCCTAGACCTGCCTGGAGAGAAGGGGAGAGGGGCATGGGTTATGATTCCCAAAGGTTGGAGGTAGAAACTGAAAGGGGCCCTTGGACATCACCTACGGTCTTTCTCCTGACTCCTCTTCATCCGTCAAGTGCTTTTCCCTCCTTACTCCTTCCTTCCACGTTCTCTCTCTACCATCACTTTTTCTCAATAATAAAACCTACCAGTATTGGCTGGAGCAGTGGCTTACTCCTGTCAACACTTTAGGAGGCCAAGGATCACTTAGAACCAGGAGTTTGAAACCAGTCTAGGAAACATAGCAGCACCTCATCTCTACAAAAAAAATTAAAAATTAGCCAGGCATGGTGGTGCACACCTGTATTCCCAGCTGCACAGGAGGATAAGATGGGAGGATTGCTTAAGTCCAGGAGTTTGAGGCTGCAGTCATTTATGATCCTACCACTGAACTGCAGCTTGGACCACAGAGCAAGACCTAGTCTCAAAACAAAAAACAAAAAAACACTAATATTAGCCGGGTTCGGTGGCTCAGCCTGTAATCCCACGCCTTTGGGAGGCTGACGTGAGTGGATTGCCTGAGCTCGCGGGTTCGAGACCCGCCTGGGCAGCGAGACCTCATCTC